AAATTAACAATAACCCTGAATTATGAGCTCATTACATAATTACATTGTGTTATTGAATTAATTTTATAATCATACTAGACCCGATAATCTATCGTCCCTTTGAAATAGTCCATGGTGGTTTTAAAAAACACATTTTGCGTGGCTAACTTATAGGCCGGTAAATACAAATTTAAGCAAAAATAAAAAAAAAAATCCCAAAGAATTATTTTTTTTGTAAGCGTACTATGTAGTAGACCTACAGCAGTAGGAAAATAAATTAAGCATTACGATTTCATAATATTTATTTAATATTTAGCTGTAGAATAATAATTTCCAGCAATTTGTACACATGCCCTACAGGCTACAGCCTACATCATTTTAATGTAGCATAAGAAAAATCATATCCATTCGTTGCAGCTGTAGTGTACGCGTCTGCGAAGGACCGTACAGTACACTAAACGACTAACGGTATCGGCAGGACTAGGGGTCGTTGTTAAATAATTAAACACTTTTTAAACTTAGTTAATATTAGTATGATAATAAAAAGTATTATTGGTTAAACTGGATATTTAGCATAATAAATATTTTAAACAGTTTGTAGTTAATATAATTTACCCGAGTACTTGTTGCAGTCGCACTACTCTACTAAATAAAGAACTTTATAATAAAGAACATCCAAATTGAACGGCGACAATGCAAAACGTGCTATTGCCATTTTTCGCTTTTTCCAGTGACGTCGATTTTCTGTTGTAGCACATAAGAAAGTCATAGACAAAAACTGTAATATTCTAAAAATGCATAAAAGAAATCTGAACTTATTTATGATAATTGTTAATATGTGAATTTAAATTTAGATACATTAAAACATAATTTTGTGAAACGAATCGCGCCAAAACGCACCATATCCACCACTTGGTTTGTTTTGGCAAAATTCAGTGGAAATAGTATATTTTAACATAATATATATTTATATAGGTAGTCAATAATATTATTTATTTTAAACAACAAACTATAATTTTTTTTTTTCATAATTAACTATTTCCTGAAAATTAAATATTCCATACATAGTTTTTTTCGTGACTGTAAATTTGTTACAATATGATTTGTATTATCTTGAAAAATTATAAAACCTTATTTAACAGTCATAAAAAAAAATGCATAATATTACAAATATAAAATAAAATAAAAACAAGACAATAAATAACCTTGGTTTATTTACCATCAATTTAAAAAAACTAGTAGACAACTGCCGCCGGTTTCGGTCGGCGGTCGGCCGCTTTTTTATTGCTGGGTTGGGTTCGGCGGCCGCAAAACCCCAAGAGCCATTTTTTTAAGTTAAATAATATACTCTTACTGTTTTGTCAGTATAATTATAATATATTTTAATTAATTAAGTCGATATCGTATAATAATAATCGTCGGTGTATGGGGATATATGGACTGCCCCTTAGAATAATAAGTGTATTGGCAACACAACATACACCAACGCCACGACACTTTCTGTTATCAAATATTGCTGGCTCGTTTATGGCTAACTTCACACTCGTTTTATTTTTCTATTGATCAAATATTTTGGTAAATTTGTGAGTCTGTTTTGGCCAAATGTGGCTAGTTTGTATATTTTTTAATTCATTTTAGCATACCTACTAAAGTTACGTTCATTTTGCAACGTCAACTACAGAGACGGATGACTATACAAATATTTGAAACAATATCAATCATTAAATATTCATGTTGTGTTATTTCTATACTATTTAAAACACTTTTGAAACCGTCTATTTTCGATACCCTTAATAATATCTGCCATATTATTTATACCTGGATGTTTACAAACACATTGGCTCATCATCGTTTACCTAGAATTAAATCATGTCTCTGATTGTTCTTAAACCTTAAAAGCATTAAAAAATAAACATTTTGTCAGTAGGTAATAGAACTGATTGCGACCGCGTTCAGTTAAATGCCACTTTTTTTTTCTTCTCACTCATAATCCTCGGTAGTATAGTGGTAAGTATCCCCGCCTGTCACGCGGGAGACCGGGGTTCGATTCCCCGCCGGGGAGGAAAACTTTTTTGCATTTTTTCCTGCTGTTTTTCATCATAATCAATCATTATAAAGTTGAAGATCTATTGCTTGGTACTTAATTTATGATAATAGATTTCTCTGAATTTTAATGCATCCGTTGTGTGCGTTAAAATCAAAATGCCAACTTGGAAATTTTTAATTACATAAAATACATTTATACTATTGCAACAATTGTAACTTTTTTTTTTTTTTATAATGGTTTCAAACAATATTTTACTATCGTTTTCAAAATCATAAATTTCAAAATTAATCATACATAAAAGCCTAAAATTGAAATGAAACCTTAACAAGTTTTCTATGTAAATACATTTACATTATTAAAAAAAAAACTGTTCTTGTGCGTGTCTTTAAATCCATTAATAAAGGAAGGCATTTACCCTCTCAATTTACCTCTTAAAATGCAGTGTCGGTGTTCATTAATTATTTTACTGTCTATGTGGTACGAATAATGACAATTTTTATATTGATGAAAATATTATCTTAGAAATCTTAGAAACTAGAAATTTTAATATTCTTCTGTTTAAAATTCGAACAGAGAGTATGCATTTTTTTTGTTCACTTCTTATTAATAAGTGTCAGTGTCATAATAATCTTATTATTATTATTAAAACAGCACAATTATGTAGTATATATTTTATAGTCAAATCGCAAACCATTAACTAAATATCTGCATTCTCTTTGACATATTATTATTATGTTTCAATTCTAACATGTTCGATGTTATCTAATTTGAAATCAAATTAGATAACATCAAATTTGATACATGTTGTCAAATTATCCCTTATCCCTTATTCCCTTATCAAATTTGTATACATGTTTTGTACTTAATGATAAATAGAAAATAAACATTAAATACTTTTGTGTAAGTAGGTAGTATAGTTTTAAAAATTGTCCAAAATTAATTTTTCAAATATTTCACAATGCAATTTTAATTTAAAGGTTCAAAACGACATGTTAACCATTAAGTATTTATCAACATTTTTTCCTTAAAATTATATGACAAAAAATGATAAAATGTTCAGAAAATTTAAGACGGGTCAAATAGTTAGCTTTTGTTTTAATATTATTAATTAGCAAGAAATTATTGTTTTCTATATTCCACAAAAGCATTTCTTATTATTTTATTTTCAATGGAAAATCATAATAAAATTAATTCTAAAAAAAAAACAATTGTGTTAATAGTTAGACCTAAGCCTGATGTTATAATATGATTATTATTAAAGGTATAGAATGTTCATCTGTTAAAACCAAAACACTTATGTTCAAAATAAAAATTTGTGCATAATTTATAAATTTATTACTCGATGATACAAAAAATACATAGTGAATAATTAAAAAAGTAATATTAAAACGCATTAAAAAAAATTAAGACCGAGAAACTTAAAATTATTTTCCCTTTATGTCGAGAAATTAATGTTTTTAATTTAAAAAAAAAAACATAATGTTAACTATTTTATTATTTAAGTAATTTAATTGATCATAATCAAAGTATAATAAATAAAATAGCTTTTATGCCAATACATAAAAACGTCTTTATTAATTATTCTTTTCTAAGTAATTTTCTATTTTTTTATACATACAAAAGGTTTGTACAGTTTTCTACCATAAAACATATTACATTTCTTATTATTACATTATTATTATGACTAACATTTAAAAAAATGACAAGCAAATTATTCTCAAGTTTGTTCTAAAATACTAAAGATTCTATTATCGTTTATTGGTTTAACTATTTTTATTATAATCATTTAGTAATGGTACTTAATTTTTACAATCATAAAACCATTATAAAATATAAACTAAAGTCTGTTAATAAGCTATGTAATGTATTTTTTATACAAGTCTTTATCTATAAATAACACACACAAACATATTAACAAAGTACTATAAGTAAGTTTAACAGAATTAGCATTATCTCACAAGCAGCAATTTAGAAATATACATTTTCTCAATGTTTTTTTTAAGGTTGTTGGAAAATATATTAACTTTTAAGTTTTCATTGCTTTATGGGGTGATTTATAAATTGATTAAAATGTATACATTGAAATCAGAAACACTACAGGTATTGAATGCTCTTACATTGGCATATAATAATGTTTATTTGAAAAGAGACAATTATTATTGTAAATAACAGTACAGTATAAGTATCTCAATCAGAAACATATTGCAGTCATTATAAATCAAATTAACAAATGTTGTCCTTGAATACTCAATAAACACAGTATATCATGACAAATAACTATGCGTATTGAAAGCGGGCGGTTTTTAAGGAGTTTTACATACAATTTTGTTTAAAAATACTTTTTTTTAATAAATAATATGTTCTGTGGTTACATAGCCGGATCATTTGCTTTTGAAAGGAGTCAAATTCGTATGATAGTTCATTTTATAATGGCGGTTTAAACATTTTGTTGAATTAAAAATATGTTTTGTATAATTTTTTTCAAGTAAAATTGTACGTGAAATAAGGCTATTTTTAATTTTATGAAAGATGAACTTTTTGGAATTAATCTCTTTCATGAATAATCGAAATTTTGACAAGCGTTTTTGGTATAAAAAAAGGCAAAATAAAAACAGACCGCTTTCAATATGTCCTCGATGACGTCATAATACTATATTGTCACAAATTAAATAAAACCAGATAGCGCACTCTGAGAAAATCGGAAAATGCAAACAAACTTTAATAACCTCAGGCCAATGTGACCGAAAAATAATCATCTTAGTTAATCGACTACTCGTGATCAGTAATACTTGACAATTAGCGTGCACAATATTTTCGACACTATAATTTGATTCTACTGCATTGAGTTTAAACCAATCGAAAATCGTTATTGGAAAATCTATCGTCGCACCGAGTGAAGTGCACTATCTGATTTTGTATTCTTTTAATCTGTGAAATTGTTTTGTCGACAAAAGATAAAAAAAAAACCTATTGTTTACATAGTATTGTTGAATTCAACGACATAGTTGATGACGTAGTCACACTGCGACATGCCAGTAGTGGATTTCAGCTTGTTCATGACCAACACACACAACTCGCCTGGGCGTACAACTTCGAATGTGCCGATGCTGTGTAGTAAACTATTGAACGTTTGGTAAAAGCGAGGATCCTTGGTGTAATGGCGTATGTCGTCGAAATACGGTCTGGCGTATCTTCTGAAGTCGCAAGTGCATTGTAAAGCCGTCGGGAGATCAATTCTACGGACAGCGTGATAGACGATTTCCTTAAATACAAAAAAAATATATATATATCAATAAAACCCAATATTATTATTGTACAATGCGAGGCAACACTCGTTGTTAGGGGAAAACGATTACATTTTTATAGATGTTTCTCTCGTAGGCGCAATTTAAATTAAATAAAACCGAAGGCGCTTAAGCTCTGCATCTTCCAGATGTTTTAATTAACTTGGTCGACGTTTTTTTTTTTTTCATGCCAGGATGTTGGTATAACAATTAATCATAATATTTCAACACTTAAGTTCACACCCGACAGTGATAAGAAACGGCCAATAACAGATGCCGATTAGAGACAGCTGATAATGGCCACTGATAAGAGGCAGACGATAAGAAATCCGGCACGATGGAGAGGAGATTGTAGTCAGAGGAAGGAGAGGAACACGAACGTGAATTTTCCAATAGATTTTCCCTTAGACATATTCATGATCCAATGTATTCCTTCAAAGTCAAAACTAATTTTTCTTTTTGCACACTTTTTTACTAGTGTTATTTTATTTACTAATACAATCCTACTATTGTTATTGTACACAAATATATCATAAAATTACCAAACATTTATTCTTTTTCGAATAAGCGCTTCGTCGCCGATCTGTATGTATGATAAAAATAAAATTATCGAAAAATACATTGCAAAGGACATAATGCGCTGGAAATTGTATTTTCACTAAAGGGTGGTTACGAGGGGGGTTCACCATCTGCCTATAGGTATTTGTTGCCGACAGGGGCGGATCTAGGAATGAAAAAATGGGAGGGGGCTAGAAAAAAAGTTCCCTTTAAATACATTTTACAAGGAACTATCAAACAAAGTTAAAGTTTATATAGTAAACAAAAATACAATATATTTTTAATGCAGTTCAAGTACACAAGGGTGATACTTCAGATGCCTAAGCCCCCCGCCCCTTTTGTGTCAACCCCTTTGTTACCGTAGTTTCGTATGTATAGTTATGGTTGAGGGGATTGCATGCGGTTGGTTTTAAGGAGTTTTGTATAGGCAATATTTAAGAAAAAAGTGGTTTTAATAAATTTCGATCGTGTCAATTAATTAACCGGTTAATTTGTATAAGCTTCATGGTATTGTTTTTAATTAAAATTATTTTTTCTATGAGTAAAAACCATTTTAGTTAATATAACACACATTTTTTATTCCATCGCACAGGCTGAACCGGTGATCCGATAAGTAATCTGAAAACAGATTTGAATTCGTCATGAAGTTCAATTATGATCGGCCAGGGTACTTTTTTTATATCTTATTCCTACTATGTATCAAACACGTTTGAACATTATATAAAACGTCATATTTTAAAATCAAATTTGGACAGGGTTAAAATAAAAATTGAAAAAAGTACCCTGACCGATAATAAGTAAACTATCACTGGTTCGGTCTGCGCAATGGAATAAAAACGATGTGTTTTGACTGAAAAACCCGGTTGCATGCAATCCCCTTAGCTTTTTTACGGATACCCGTTGACTTATTAGTACCCCTTTTTTTTTTCCTTAATAAAAAAAAAAGTTTGTATATGTTATAACACTGTCTATATCTACTTTCAGACCTTATTAGCTCTTAAATTACACATAAAAAAGCGAAATATAAACAAATTTACCACCCGTTCTTGGCGAAAGGGGTGAACAAAGTACAGAAAGACAATTGATCGAAAATTGAGTTGTGTAGAATTTTATACAGTTGAAAACGCATACAATCAACTGTGATCGTGAGAAACAATACCTTCTCGGCTGTTCCGCGTCGAAGCTAAGTGTAAAGAGCACATAATAATTATAATGATAATATAATGATAATATAATGATAATATAATGATAAGACGAATGTTGGTGCCTACCTCTTCCACGTTAAGCATCCGTTTCCGCAACAAGTACCGGCCGTGTTGGAATGGATTTTGCACTCTTTTTATGGAACTCACTCGGAAGTTGGCACGGCTAAACAGCGGCCGGAGCTGCTTGTACTGAGTGCTGTCCGCCGACAAGGGAAACAGCAGATAACGGTTTACATACATTTCTTCGGGCACGGCCTCCCAGTCGGCCGGCAGGTTGTCGAACACCGATCTTATTATCGTCTCGACCATGGCTTGTGCTGTTGTAGAGGACCTTTTGAGTGTCAACACGACAGCGATATAAAAAAAAAACACCCCGTGGATAGAGTCCCTGCAAAACAGCTAATATGCAGTACGTCTGACTGGTGTATCCGGGCAACGACTACGCGGGGACGAGCCACCACACGGTCCGCGGCTAACGGGCCTGTGTTCCACCGGGGAAACTGTAGTATACATCATGCGCGTACCACGGATCGATTCCCGTTTCCATCCCGGTCCGATTGCAACGACTCAAGTCTGAGTTTCCAACAATAATGTCCCAAAAAAAGTGTACATAATATATTTTCTAGTATCGTGTCCATTTAACGAGCATTTGTCTCGAGGGGGATGCATGCGGTCTGCTTTTAACGGGGTTTTGTACAGGCAATATTTAAGCAGAAAGTGGTTTTAATATATTTCGACCGTGTCGATTAATTTGTTCCCACATAACCTAGTAATGTTGCCAGACAACTCGTACATCTATTAATACGGATGTTGATAAAAGCATTGTGTCTAATGCCGCTATTATGTGCTTAAACAAATAATAAGTAATTTTTAGTAGGTATTGAGGTGGACACGATTAGGGTTGATCGTCTGTCTATAAAAATGTATTGCCATAGTTACCCGGCCATGTATTGCGGATGACAATATAATTAAAATATTTTCATTACCCGTTGACTGTTGATTCACTCACACATAGCAACCTGGAATTTGGAATACTCATCTAGATTCCAATAATTTCCAAATGCTATTTATTCGAATACAGTATAGTATTAAAAATTGTGTTAAACGATTTTGTAAACGTATTAAAATATATTTGTGTTATAACGCACTCAAAAAAACAAACAAATTTTTTTTATCTTTAACGTGATATTTTTTATAATTTTTATTTTTAATCATTATTTTACTACAATATTGAATCTACGATACGTTAGACAATATAACATGTTTTTCCATCAGGAAGTGAATACAACGACAAGGTTACTTCAACCTCGGATTTATTGTCAATTATAAAATTGTATATAAATTCTTATTAGATAAAATACTTCAAAACATCGAAGGTTAATAAAATCGTTATGCATTAATTTGAAACAGTACAATAATTATGAATATACTCAGTCGCGTATATTTCAAATGTGTATGTCGCTCATTCCTTTTAAATCTAATACACGTGCAACATTTGTTAGAGTCGTCCACATTTTCTTAAGAGCAGTTGAATACGATAATAATTGGTTTATATTTTCTTGACCATCATCGGTATCCCATTCAAGTCCAGAATATTATTCCACTTCAATTATACGTATGAATGCATTTATATTAATCGAAGCGTCACCTTGAAAGTACTCTTTAAAATATCCAACAATTATTTTATACACTTTAGTTGATGCTAACGGAAAAAATATACTGGATGCACTATTTAATGCTTCTAGTATTGCATCCAAATTATTACAATAAAATGAAAAATTGTCATTCGTGTCACTAGATTGAATTATTATTTTTATTCTTTCATATGCTATAAAAAATTAAAAACCATAGCTTTTATCATGAACAGTTGATATTTATCAAGGTATTTTGGTGTGATGTTTTTTTTAACAATATCGACAATTTCATTGAATCTTTTGTAGTCGCCTTCCCACGAAACGTTAAGTTCACGCAGCATTGATATACTGTTGTTATTAGCCGAAGCCTTTTCTAAAATGACATTCATTAACAAATTGTCAATTGTAAAATGATTTATTTTAATTTCGGTTCCAACAGCTTTATAGTTTTTTAAATTTTCATCGATGACTTTGTCAAATGCATTTTATGAGCTGTGTTTTGTCATAATTTTCCATAACGCTGCTACAGTATACATTTACAACAATTTCAGTCCTCGATTGGCCTTTTTATGTGGCTTAGTCGATTGCAATAAATTCTAGTATAGCGACCAACGAATTGACTACTGTTTCACCTAACGACATGATAGACTTTATTATAGAGTCAAAATATGATCCTAAAAGCGTAGTCATTTGCAAAAAATGTCTTCAAATAATATCAATTGGCACTGTGATATTATAAAATCAATTAATATAAAATGAACTACAGTAACATAAGAAAATTGACAATTATTTTTATTTAATAACTTTAAATTAGGAAGTGCGTATTTTCCAAATTTGACTGTGAAATGTTTAGAACGCTTAAAAGTACTGTCAAATTGCAAAAAACCCACTTCGTCAAATTCACATTCGCATGTTTTCCTCTGTTAGTGGATCTGATGATCGAAATATTGTTAGAATATATCCGCTAAAAATTTAAACTTGTGTTACTTTGTGCTGTGTTCTATACACTTGTTGGAAAAATCATTGTTTAAACGGCCTACGCGAAACGATTTTACTGTGTGTGTTTAATATGATCGTACTTTGTCAGAAAACATAAACACTACTTAGGTACCTACAGTTTTAAATAAACAAAATCATATTGTTTTTCAGATGCGTAGAAAATGTTTTGCAGCTGTACAACCCTAATGTATATTTTAGACATAAATGCAGGTCTACAGGCATGCATAAGTCGCCCAAGTCCCATTCCCAGGTGTGTCGCTATGTGTGAGCGAATCAACAGTCAAACCGTGGTAATGAAAATATTTACGACAATACATTTGTACAGACAGACTGTCAACCTCAATCGTATCCACGCTAATACAAAAAATTAATAACGTCATCTGTGATCACTGGACCTCCTCTACTTACAATAACACTATTCACTCGCGTGGAATAGTTCATAATACTGTGCTTGGTTTGGACAGTACTGGTTTGATTCTACTAGCCACAGGTTGGCATCGAAGCGTTTTTTATTTTAATGCGGTTTTATCATTTTCAGTTGTAATAACGCCTGTGGACCTGTAATTGCAGTAATTGGGTTTTCGCAGACGGCGATGGTGCCGGTATACAATTATCATACGCACCCGGTTGAACTAACGACGGCTGTGCAAGACCACATGGGGGGGGGGATTTATTTATTTAAGCGCAAATGTTGAAATCACCCGTTGCCATGACGACTTAGGCCACCCGCGCAAAAGCCTCCCGAGATGATGGATCGATCGTCGATACAACGAACCCGAGGACGTTGACTTGGACTTGGAATTGTTGGACTTGCTTTGTAAGTAGTTTTCTAAAATTTGAGTCAACGCGGAATTTCTAGTTTTTCTTCCAAACGCACAGAGCACGCTTATAATATACCGCAAAATGTATATTACAACTGTCTTGAACAGAAACAAATAATATATTAACTAAACAGTAAAGAATAACATTAATTAAAAAAAAATAAATCAACTAATGGAGTAGACATATAAAATAATATAACTGGTCGCGAAAATGCAAAGTAATGCTGAACAAATAGTGGTCTTCTGCAAATTGCACTACAATTTATTTCAATCCAAGAATGTTTGATCCAATACGATCTTAGATCGGCGGATAAAATTTTTTATACTATTTTATCATCATCGATTTCATCCTACCAAGTCTATAATGGCATAGCAGAACTAAGCCCGTTTAATAAGTTACAAAAAACTAGTTGAATTGCATACCAAAAAAGTATTAATGAGTTTGGAATAAAAATTGATTTAAAAAAAGTTGGTGTTCAATATTTATTTAACTGGGACGTGTGATGTTT